ACAACATTAGGTTTTAGTTATTTTTACATTAAATTTACTTTGTTAAAAAATGTCCCTTCACCTTATCACTTTCAATTGATAGTAGAGCCATACCTAAATATAGGGTCACCTCACTTCTGATGCATCAACCTTAGACTTTTAATAAAGCATGCATTTGGATTGGTTACATGTGTGGAAAATGTACGTGAAATCGGTTAACCTTTATGAAATTCGGTTAAACCGAGCAGTGTGTGCTCTGTAAATATGTTATCTTTCAATCTGGTGTCACCCCTCTGGGATGGTGTCACCCGGGCGTTTCGCACACCCCCCCCCAACCCCTAATTACGCCCCTGCTGCCTGGCACTCATCAAAAATTAACGACCTAAAACAGTTTGTCCCATTACCCCGCATGTCCAAGAAGCAAATGTGCTTATCTCCTCCCTCAGGCTGATGGTTCCGTTCACGATGCTGTCCCTGATGTTTGTGGTGCCTTTTTTCTTGTCGCCCGACGAGCCGGAGAAACTGATGGTGTCCATCACGCTGTTGCTGTCCGTCACCGTCATGATTGATTACGTGTCCAGGAAACTGCCCCAAACATCGGAAAAGGCGTCCATGTTGGGTAAGGGCACACTAATTGTCAACTAAAATGGACCCAGACACGCTGCGCCGCCACTCGTACTCGGGTACCATTAGACTCAAACTATTCGGATGTCACTTGTGGTAGTTTATTTTAGTTAAACTGAAGAATTAAGTTAACAAACATATAGTCTATTCAATTATATTTCATTTGATACCTTATTTTGTCTTACAAACCCAACAATAAAATTTTTAATAGTTTTTTAATCCCAACCTCTCACTTCTGGTATCAGGGTGCGAATAGCCAGTTTGTTAGAGTAAACACTTCCAAATGTAGTATTTCGCCGGCATTTTTTTGTTCTAAAAATTGAATGGCGGTCCAAAATATTTATGTCACCTCGTACATCTCTTTTATTTATTGGTTCCTATTTGTGTTTTCTGTGTTTTATCGTGATCTACAATTCGATTTTACGTCTTTCATTGACTACATTGTGTTTTCAGTGATCTACATGACGTCTCTGTTTATCCAGTCATTTTTGGGCGTGGCCTGTAATGTCTTTGTGCTGATCGTCAACAACCTGGACACGAAGCAACGAGCGTTTCCCACGGATAAGACCGTTTCACCCGTAGCTGTGACCGCGTCACAGGAAACAGAAACCTCTTGCAGACGCTGGGATACGTGGATAAAATTGTGTTTTCTTTGCCCGGGCTCCACACGAAATAAGGAAATGACTCGTGCACACAGACTTAACAACTATTTTCTTATTCTAAATATTTTTCTGCTTGTACTTATTACTTCGGTGAATTGGTACTTCATGTTGTTTTAATCTCGCATTTTTACTCTGAAGGATGTAGCTAATTACTTTTACAATGCACAGATGAATGTTAGTGATTTACTTGTAATGGCGGGCTAATATCAACAGAGACACTCAGGGTGCAAAGCTCACAATTCAAAGTTTTTGGGAAATCAATATTTCCCGTATTCCGGGCTTCCATAAGGGGGTTGTTTATTCCGACACCCCCCATCCCAGTGCGAAATGCCAAGAAGTTTGACGACGATTATGAAGAGCAAAGAGTGACTAGATTATAACTTCTAAATAAGTTTGATAATATAAATCATTCGAATAGAGTCAACAAGACCTGAGAAATAGGGGTAAGAATTGTTTAAAGCCCAACAGACAGTTTACATTTATTGTTAATAAATATCGACCAATATAGAGTGATCTGCCTATTGGAGTTTTTTCTAATTTCTTGGTTGTTTAAGCTTACTAATTTTTTTCGCATCAGCCAAAAAGGCTTCTGCAATTTAAAATTTTAGACATACTAGAATATAAAGTAGTGAGCCTGAAGCAGTGAACCTAAATCAATGAGCCTAAAAGCAATGAGCCTAAAGCAGTGGGCCTAAGGAAATAGGGCCTAAAGCAATGGGCCTAAAGCAGTGGGCCTAAAGAAATAGGGCCTAAAGCAATGGGCCTAACGTAGGCTAGCTGCTAGAGCAGTGAGCTTAAACTCAAAGCAGCATATAACAGAAATACTAGCTTGCGGTCGAAGATCATTTACAACCTCCACCCCCCCCCCTTTTTTTTTTTTTTCGGCTGTGCCCTCCTTTTGAATGAACCCAACATCCCAACCCCCAAGCGGCCGGCCTTTTTAAACGACCCCCAAAA